TCCGAAGGTAGCCGAAGGAGTAGTTAGATATACAGGAACCAGCCATGCATCGAAGACAGTGGATTTCTTTGGCTTTAACTTTAGTAGCCTATAACTTATACGCCGAATGTCTCCACCTCTTTGTCCCAAGAGTTCATTTGGCAGTCTCGTACCAACCTCCCTTTCAAGACTGCAACGTATGACAACTGAGAGCCTGGATCTTTGAGGTAATTATTTTTGTTATCGTGGACAGGTCCCCTCACTGGCCAACACCTGTAGTGTCTAATTATGGTGCCTGATGGCTTGAATTTTACTATTTGGTGACATTTCAGTAGGATGCACCCAAGTTATTAATTTTTTGCTGAACCCAGTGCTTACGGCCTAGGCCCAGAACAATTAGACTTGCAGAGTTACAATGTAACAAACAAGAAGGCAGTACCAGTGACACAAAGCATTTATTTCAATCACTCAGCAACCACCAACTTTCTTTAACGTCAGAGTATGAACGGTTTAAGATTAAGGTTGCAATCTATCTCTCGAATAAATTCCCTCTTACGAATGCAATCTAACCTTTCATTCGTCTTTTTGATGAAGGCTCATTGGACCTGAGTTACCATCACTACTAGTGACTTCTGAGACTGCAAAGGGCCATTAGTGGCTTATGGGTGGGGCCTTTTATCTGTTCTTCCATATTGAGTTTGATATCTCCACTCCCTAGATTCCCTTTCCAATTGAGCATGGAGGATATCGGTAGTCATAAGAGCCGTTTTCACGTGAAGCTGAGTAAGGGGCGTGTCTTATCTACCAAGATTGATTACCTTTCCTGTGTTAATAGTGTGAATTACAGTAACAGGTTTGCATTGCTTCTTCTTGTTTCTTTTACGACACGTATCAGATGTGTTCGCATTCTTCGCTGAAAGGATACCTTACAAAGCTGAGCTTGTGTGGAAACACCCTGTAACAGCTATGTTTAGGGAGGTGGTTAGTTATGTTGTCCCTTTTAAGCACTGAGGTATCTGACACCAAAAATTTAAAGAGCAACAGCCTTTGGGTTGTGACCTTTATTACCACAATCTATAAAGGTGATTTTGGAAAAACTCAGCTTTTTCCTAATCGGGCCGGTTTGTCTGGAAGCCTTAGATCGAGGTCCCATCCAACTAGTTACTGGCTTATCCAGTGCATGCGCTTAGCGTCGCAACACAGATACCACCTAACGGGCCATTCATCGGAACGTTGTAATAACTTGAAAACTAGGTAGAACCGCAGAAACAGTGTATCTACTGTCAGGATACTTCGAAACCTCCAGTGGATATTAATTCAGCGGCAGAAGCATCAGAATCCAACGGAATAAACTCTGTCGACAATGGCGGCAGTGACATATTTGGGGGGCAAGTACCGTGGATATGGAAAGATCACTCAGGCCAGGTGAGCTACACATGGGGACACTTAGGCAGCTTGAACTCAAAAAAGCTGGCCCACTGGCAACTACATCTGGACCGTCAGTCAAGCTCAGTCAGGCTATACTGCCATACTCACAAATATTCACGGCTCATGTTCCGGACAACACCGAAGAACTTACAAGCCAATAGTCTTGACTAGAACCGTGATTAAAGTTCCGGAAAGACCCGCCGAGACAACTATGGCGTTCCGTGTAGAAAATAACATTCTTTTTTCTGTTACCAACGCGACTTTGGCAGAAGTTTGTCATGTTCGACAAAGTCACAGGGAGTTGGATTCAATCTAAAGGTGATGGGGAGCCTGCATTTGTCACCACCATAGACTGAAGTAAGGTTTTCGACACATCACTTCACACTAGGTTGCTCGTGAAGATAGAACGCATTGGAATCGTTGGTAACCCATTTTTGCGTATCCATGGGTTCTTTTTTGGTAGGAGACGAAGGGCAGAGATTGGTTATCCACTTGAAGTCAGGAAGTCAGTACGAGGCCGCAGACACACAATCTTTGGCCCCCCATCATTTCTGAATGAACGCTAAAGCGTCACGAATTCCCTCTTGCTTTTCCACAAGAAATAAAGGACGGCAGTGTATATACACTTAGGAAGTACTTAAGTTGTTTGTTGATCTGGTCATGAAAATCGTTGATGTGAGTCAGTGCAGATGATGGTGTAACGTCAAAGTAGTGCATACGGACGACAACCTACACAATATTATTGCCACTCCCGTACCTTCAGCGCTACCCCGCGGTGGCCTAGTACTCAAAGTGAGTCACTACTCAGACATCATAGAGGTGAGACCTGGTCATCCTATATATGACTTTGATAAGTGACTATGAACCTGATCTATCTGCTTTTCTCCCTCCCGCCTGATCGGGACACAACAAAAGGTGCAGGAGGAGGCTTCAGATGTCATCGCCTTTGAATATTTACTGTCGTGTTCAGCAATCGGTTCTCCTAACTGACTACCGGCGGCAGTACTCTTCGCGTCATCAGCCGAATCATTCAGCGAACGAATGGACAGGCACGGAGATCCACTAGAAAAGAATTTACACAGGTTTATTCTTTCCTATCTTCAAACCACAAATATGAAGTATGACAGGTGGCAACTTTGAGTTCATGACTGACAAATGGATTGGCGGTAAGACTGTCTCTCCATCAACCCCTGGACTCTTTGTGGTACCACTTCGCTGACCGTCGCGTCATATGAATAAATAAATATTTTGTTCTCAAATTAACAGTTTAACGTGAGAGAAGCCAGTTTACAGGCATCATCAAATTGATAATAGTAAGGAAATCTCCAGTAGTTGAGCTGTCCTGAATGATACAGAAGATGTCGCGCCATGGTTTTGTCACGACAATAAAAGTGACTACAGGTCATGAAAAGAACAGAAAAATATCACTTCACAATACATTCAGATTGTTTATGATTTTCGGTTGCCCCCATTCACCATTTTCTTTACACAATAAAGTGATGCCAAAATCGCACAATATTCGATGTTTGCGTTACATGGACCTAGATGGTTAGCCTGGCGGTATAGTTTCCGTGTTCCGTCAGATAAAAGTTTATTTTGACATCAGTTAACATGTTTATTGTGTCGTTGGCCAACGAAACTCACTTCATCGATTTCAGGTCAACAAAGGTCTACAAGCACTCCTAATTATACGGAAATGGTCATCGAGGCGGTCGCAGCTATAACCCCCAAAGAATGCAACTCGCCGACCGATTCAACGTTCATTCATCCTCTTCGTGACCAGATCCTTCAGTCAGAAACTCAACAGTGCGGCCGGCCCCTCAGAGAAAGCCCTTGATGTCACGTTAGGCGAGCACTAGACGTAAGTGGAGTATATAATTTCCGTCGTCATCCGTCACCGTTTGCTGGGGGTAATATGCCGGCTATCATTAGAATCTCTTGCTTAAAGCATGGAACAAGGGGACTACCTCGGACCTAAAACCAGGCTGAATTGAAGTGCCATTCATGTCCTAAGCGGTCTGACTTCCTGATCTTCGAAAGCGTCCACAATCGATGCGACATTAGAGTCCGTAGCGGAAGGCCGAGCTGTCAAAGAAACCAATGACTAGGTTGCAGAATAACCCAAAAACCTATGCCGACTGATATCGAAAAAGTTGATAATCCTTCACCATGTCATAGTGAAGGTGAACTAAGCAGTTTAGTGAAGCTGGGCTTTTGATCCCTTATCTGACACCAAACCCGGATCGGTGTCGGACTGCAAATATCGAATACCTCTGACACATACCCCAGGATGGGGAAACCATCCGTACTCCGTAAACACAAGCCATCTTTCGGTGACGAAATGATAGTGGTGATCCAGATGAGCTGCACCGAGACATTCATGAAGCCAATCTGCTATCCCTTCAGGTGTCAGGTGTCATATCAGCTCTCAAAAACGTGAGCACGCCATTTCAGCTCCGGTTCTCAAGTGGGGGGACAGGGAGCTACAGACCAACAGCCCTATTCCTTATACTGCCTAACGTAATGGAAATACCGGTAGTAGATGCAATCTAGATTTCCTTAAGGAGGAAGATGCCGTTTGGATTGTTTATTCGTATGCCACCAGTTTGCTGATTTTCATGGGACCACTGGAACTTTGGCCACAAGGACGGAAAAACAGCTGATGCACTTGAGTGTCCCATACGAAATCTTTCCTCTTGGCATCATGTCAGTCAACATAACCAAAGCTCTGCTTTCTCCGTTCAATGCATATCTAAAAGACCAACAGTTGCACACAAAAGTGAGGAAAATACGGTTCAAGTGGACGTCATCAACAACGAGGGCATCTCGAGGAACAATCCTGGGGTGACTCAAGTTTCCGTTGTCCCTCAGCGATGTGTGACTCAACCTGTCTTCCTCCATCCTCCTACTGGCTGACGACGTTGAAATTTTGAAAGGTGTAACCTTAAAGGTCGGCTTAAGATCGATGCGAAACAACTTGCAGGAATCACAGTCTAGCCATCATAATAGCTTCAGCTTCCACCTGGAACAGTGGAAAGTAATTCAATAGGGTGGAACTAGAGGCAATCAAATAGTCACCAGTCTCCTTGAGAAAATACTCTTATAAATAGAACCATGACGTGTATTTTTGCCATTCAGAAACGTCCAACACACTTTTGCCGCTATCTTTTACTCTCACTCACTCACCCTTATGTCCAGGAGTCACAAATTTCCTTACTAACCAGTAACCCCTAGCTTCTTTACCTACTCAGTCTACAAGTTACAAACACCAGCCCACAGTAACACTCACCTCATAGAAGTTGAGGACAGAAAATCAGGACAGATTTCTTTATCACTTTTGAGAAGGAACTGAACAACCAGAACCAAGCCTCAAGAGCTAGTTGCGAGAGAACCATCAGTTTCTCAAGCGTGCACAATTGCCCTGAATGTTGCTGGATGCATTCAGCAGGCTCGGTTGTTTTATTTAAACCAAATGTGAAAACACGCTGCACATTATGTTGCCTGAATGCATGTGGTAACCCATTCGACTAAATGAGCGGTCCAGTGAACAAACATTTCGTTTTACTGTATCGAAATGAAAAATTCGTGAAATCACCGCTAAGGTTATTTACTGTCGTTAGGGTGCTTGAGTAACACACTTTATCGAGGTAAACATGAGGGACTGTAGTTTCATCGTGGATTGAGTATATTTTCGTAAGATTTCCGATGAAAGCTTATTTCTCTGTACAACGCTCTCGCAGATTATTACAGGTGAACACTCGAAACAAGCCCTAAGAATACCCAGTCCCCAGCCAGCATTAGCTTCGGGTGCACATTGTGAGTTTCAGGCTGAAACCGAAATTTTCACTTCGGGCGCATATCAGATGGCGCAGGTATCCGAAGAATGTTCCAAACCTTCCTTGGAAAGTGTCAAAAGTCACGAAGTGTTCCCTAAGTTTCTGCAATGCACCCAAAGTGTCTGTAGTGCGCCCGAAGATTTGTAATAACCCATATCCCAAGTGGTGAGAAGGGCTTATTTGTAATATTTTTATCTGGATATTTGACGTTTATGTGCTACATGTGTTTATGTTATAGAAGTCAATAAAATGTTAGCGGCCAAGTAAATATTTGTGAAATTTAGGGGGAATGCCCAAAGTTGCTAAGTGCACCCGAAGCAAATGCTGGCTGGGTCACACCATAATGCTTAACTAATGCGGGCGAATGCCTTAATATGGGGTGAATAGCCTGATATTGCGATCGATAGGTAAGAGATAAGATTTTTTACCAAAAATTTCCCTGCACCGCTGAAATAAGGCGGATAGTGTGGAAATAATGCAGTTAATGCTAAAGCAAGGCAAGTAGTGCCAAAATAGTGCAGATAAATTAATTGATGTGTGTAGCGCAGTTCATTGGATTACTTAGAAAATGCAACCCGACCGATAGCTGCTACCTTGACGTGGTGGTCGGGCTTGCATATCACAATGACCCAACGAGCTATGCTGGTGGAACGCTTGTTCCCTCGAGGTCCTACCATACCAGAAAGGTCTGTTGGGTAGTGGTTAGACGAAAAGCAGTTACCGTCATAGTGTAAATTGCTACACTATGATGGGGGTCTGAGGGCGAAGTCGTACTGCTGCTAGCTGGATGGGGTGTGACAGCAGTAAGGTGTTTCCCTTGGATGACCAGCAGTGCCAAGCTGATGCTGCCTTCTCAGTGGAAGGGGGGGTTAGAAAAGGTCGGCCCCAAAAATAACGCCCCACGGTCTGCCGGGCCGGCGGTGTTGGTTCACTTGTCGTTTCCTTTCGACCATCCGGCCCCAAAAATACAAAAATTCAAAATAATCATACTCAAAAGGCTGGGTGTGACAGGCCTCAAGCAGATGTCCGATGGGCTCTGCGGTCACACAAATCTCTTTCAGGTACCTTAAGAAGAAATAGCCTTCCACGGTGTGGGCAGCCGGGAAGTGTCAACCGCCCTCACAACTCTGTCAGCACCCAAGTTTCTTCTGACTGCTATCCTCCTCCTCCATCATTACCTTCTAATCTTCCTTCACGTCTCTTAATTAATGATGCTGCATCATCTTCAATTTCTCCTACCTCTGCAGCCTTCGACAACGATCTGAGTCCACAGAACAGCATCCCTGGTCTCCTTAAACCACGCTCCAAATTACATATTGGAGCCTTCAATGTCCGCACCCTCCGTCAAATTGGCCAACAGGCTTCGTTGGCAAAGACTCTAGCAACTCGGGCATGGATGTGTGCTGTGTTTGTGAGACACGCATACAGGACCCAAGTGTGGTTATTCACCTGACCTCTCCTGACCAATCTGGTGAATCTGCAAAATTCACCCTTCGAGTTTCTGGAGATTCGATAGCTAGCTCTCGTGGTCTTGCAGGTGTAGGTATAGCATTAAGCACCAGGGCAGAAAACTCACTACTAGACTGGATCCCAGTTGATAGTCGCCTCTGCGCTATGAGGCTGAACGGCACAGTGAGAACTAAAAGGAATAGTGAGACTCGCCGTTGTCTCTTTGTAATCTCTGCTTACGCACCCACTGACTGTAGTTCGGATGAAGTGAAGGACGAGTTCTACCATAAACTGTCTAACCTCCTCTCGAAAGCCAAACGTTCGGACGTAGTGGTTGTTGCAGGTGACCTCAACGCACAGGTGGGTAGACTGAGTGAGGCAGAAAGGCACTTAGGTGGCACTTTCGGAATCCCAGCTGAACGTACAGATAACGGTGATCGCCTATTACAACTATGCTCAGATAACCGCCTATTTTTAGCCAGCACAAATTTCAGACATAAAGAAAGGCACTGTCTGACCTGGCGTCCACCGAGCTCGACTCAGCGATGGACACAGATAGACCACATTGCTATTAGTCATCGCTGGAGAGGATCGGTGGAAGACTGCCGCTCCTTCTGGAGTACGTGTTTGGACAGCGATCATGCGTTGGTCCGAGCACGTATATGCCTGCGTCTCAATGGACGTAGAAAAAATTTGGCAACAAAACCACTACGAGTTCTGCTGGACAACGAAAACACCAAAGCCGTGTTCAGTGAGAAGTTGGCTAGGCAGTTATCGGAACAAAAGACTGTCACTCATCCAGAAGAAGCTTGGTGCCATCTTCAGTCTACTGTAAAAGCAGCACTGGAGACTGTAGCCGACTCCAAGATAATGGCTAAAAAGAGCCAGTGGATATCAGCAGCTTCTTCCAAACTAATGGATGCACGTGAATGCATCCCTGCAGGCTCTGAGTACAATGAAGAGCGAGCGCAACTTAAAAATAGACTGACGAAAAGTCTGCGCAACGATCGTGAACAGTGGTGGGCAGCAAAGGCTAAAGAGATGGAAAAGGCAGCGGCGATCGGTAACAGTAGACAGTTATTTAGACTTATTAAGGAGACTGGGGGGAAATGGTCAACAACAGTTAGTGAGGCTATAGCGGAGAAGGACGGATCTGCGATTCACTCGCAGGGAAGACGACTGGAACGATGGGCAGAACACTTTGAGGAACAGTTTAACTGGCCTCCAGCCACCATTGCGCTGCCCGCTATCCAGTCGGACCCTGAATGGGACATAGAGACAGGTCCCCCAACACTAGAAGAAGTTGAGAAAGCGGTAGGTAGCCTGAAACGGGGAAGGGCAGCAGGACCAGACGGACTACCTGCTGAGGTATACAAGAATGGTGGTAGAGTTCTCTTAGTCAGGCTAACGGAAGTGTTAGCCAGTATATGGGAATCAAATACGATCCCCTCCGACTGGTCTAAGTCACTCATCATCCCAGTCTTCAAGAAAGGCGAGAAGTCCTCTTGTGATAACCACAGAGGAATCAGCCTGACAAACATAGTGTCTAAGATCCTAAGTTCTATAATTCTCCGACGCCTGAGTGGAGCTCGGGAACAGCAAGCCCGAGAAAACCAGGCAGGCTTTAGACCTGGCCGTGGATGTATCGACCAAATATTCACACTGCGCCAGGTCCTGGAACATAGGCATGCTTACAGACGCCCGACAATAGCTGTATTTCTCGACCTGAAGGCGGCATTTGACTCCGTTGATCGAGAAGTCTTATGGCAGTGTCTGTCACTGAAAGGCGTGCCTAGTAAGTACATCACCTTATTGAAAGCTCTCTACTCGAACACTTGTGGGCATGTTAGAGCCTATGGTGAGTTGTCCAGGGAGCTATACTCATCAAGTGGTGTCCGTCAAGGATGCCCACTATCCCCATTCTTATTTAATTTTATCATAGATATTCTTATGGAGGTTTCCCTCTCGTCACCTAATTACACAGACGTTGACCTTAATCACAGGTGAATTTTCCTTAGATCTAGAATATGCAGATGACATAGTCCTGTTAGGTGAAGACGCTGACAAGATGCAGAGTCTTCTGAACACTTTGAGTGGGAATTTGAGAATGTTTGGGATGCGATTTTCACCACCCAAATGCAAATTTTTGCTCCAGGACTGGTCTTCAGCGGTACCGCGGTTAACAATAGAGAGTGAAGTGGTTGAGTGTGTTGACCACTTCACTTACCTGGGAAGTAGGATCAACCCGGTGGGTTAGTTGCCGATGAGATTTCTGCACGGATACAAAAGGCTCGATTGGCTTTTGCCAATTTGCGCCACCTATGGCGCCGCCGTGATATTCGTTTGTCTATTAAGGGTCGCGTGTACTGCACAGCAGTCCGCTCTGTTCTACTGTATGGCTGTGAAACATGGCCATTGAAAGTGGAAGACATAAAAAGGCTTCAGGTGTTTGACCACCGTTGCCTTCGTAGTATAGGACGTATTCCGTGGTGTCACCATGTGAGTAATGCAGAAGTTAGGTGTAGAGTTTTGGGGAGAAGAGGTAAGTCAGTCGACGAGGTTGTGAACCTTCATCGACTGAGATGGTTGGGACACGTACTACGTATGCCTAGTCACCGATTGCCTCGTCACACAATGTTGGCTGAGGTGGGTTCAGGCTGGAAAAAGGCCCGAGGTGGCCAGACTAAAACATGGCACCAATGTATGAAGTCTCTGACTGTTGGTTTAAGCCATGTAGGACGATGCAGACTAGGTGGTTGGGGTCCACGGGACAAGAGGAACCAGTGGTTGGAGACCCTAGGTGATATGGCTCAGAACCGAAGTCAGTGGCGCAGATGTATACACACATTATCCTCATCTTAACAACGCTATACCGAATCTCACTATTTTGTCACTCCTCTTTCCCTTCTTCTCGTACTTTATATTTCTTTTGACTGCATTCACTTATCTTCATCCTTCACCTCACTACCTTTTTACTTGATGAACTGACGTGAGGTGTGGCAACTCGGACCGTTACGCAGTAATGCCTGGTCCTATGTTGATAATGATGATGATGATGATAAAGAATGCAAAATACCCACTTAAAGCTGGCATTTAGCTTAAATAAAGCGGTCAGTGCTGAAATAATGATGTGAATAGAGTATATATCTCCATGCGTGCGTAAGGGGTAGGAATTTTTAACACAAAATTTCCCCGCACCGCTGAAATAATGCAGATAAAGCGGAAATAAGGTTGGAATTATGCGTAAATGAAGCGGTCGGTGCTGAAATAAGGCTGCAGCTGTGTGTAAATCAAGCTGCATTTACGCATGCACTCTGAAATTATTTTACAAGTGCGTAAATTATGCGGTTAGTCCGTAAAAATCCGCCTAATTGTCTCATTTCTGCATTGTTTCAACCTTCCGAATCAATGCATTGACCTGCATTATTTCAGCATTCGTGTTTGACTGGGTATAACTAGACGCAAGAGATCAAAAACTATCAGTTTACTACGCTCACACTATCAGTATTGGATATTGGAAGTATACTTTATGTTTAATTAACCAGTACTGAACCCAGGAGTTTATTGTTAGGTTTATCAATATTATAACACTACATAGTAACAGTTAGCATTTACTAACCGTCGCCGTTAGAGTAAGTTTTTGTTGAAAGTGTTTGTCAAGCAGGCGATTTACTTCTAGAGCTTCCAACTGTTGATCTAAATGTACTCGAGTAAATTTTGTTGGAAGGGTGTTTACTGAGTTCACTGCTATTTGAAGAGCTGAGATTATTTGGAGCCACAAGACGCACTGATGAACATAACCTAACGTACGCCTGAATTAAAAGGAATTGACCTACTCCATGGAGGTCATCTGAATGACTTGGAGCATATAGACGGTATTGTATTGTCATGTGAAGACGCTGACAAAATGTAGGGTCTTCTGAACCCGTTGAACAGAACTCTGTGTATGCTTGGCGTGCGCTTCACTGGCATCTGTCAAACGTAAGATGATGCTCCAGGTCTTGTCTGCTTCAAGTGCTCCCATTTTAATTATAGGAAGTGAAGTGGTTTAATGTATTGACCAGTTCACTTAATTGAGGAGTTGGATCAGACCGAATGGGATGATTGCTGACGGGATATCATCTAGGATGCAGAAGGCCCATTTGGATTTTGCCAACTTGCATCATCTGTGTCGCCAACTAGTGCTAGGTATCTATCAAAGGACGAGTATACTGCACTGCAGTCCGTTCTACCCTGTTGTACGGCCGTGAAACATGGTTGCTGAAAAAAGACATGAAGCGATCACAGGGTTTTGATCATACGTCTATTCATAGCACTGCTAGTATTTGGTGGAATCATCGTGTTAGCAGTTTTGAGGTAAGGGAAGGGTACTAGGCAGCATATGCAAGTCGACCGATGAGGTAATGAATCTTAGTCGACTGAGATGGCTTGGACATGTACTGAGCACGGATTAGGTGGAAAGAGGATTCGGGGTGACCAGACCGAGACATGGCACTAATGCATGAAGTCTATGACTGTTTGTGCGATTCTTGTTGGATGGTGTAGACAACGTGACTGAGACCATTGAAATGATATGAATCGGTGGTTGAGCAGTCTTGGTGATATGGCTAAAAATCGGTCATAATGGCGCAGATGTATTCGTTCTTTAACACGTAAAGCTTGAATATTCACACTAACTTTTATCTTTAGATTGTTGATTATCCCACACTACTTTGTCTTCTACGATATCACTCTTATTCTATCCACCTGTTCTTTTTATACTATTGTGAATGTGCCAACTTGAGCTGATGCCCCTGTGTGCGAGATTCTACGTCTAGTTTGTCAGTTATTCATAAACATCTAATATGTTGGTAAACAGTCATTAAAGAATTTCCGTTATCTCTGAATGAAACATTCATGTTTTCCAACTGCACCAAGCTTTTATAGACTGAATCGAATCATTGTCTGAACCAGTGGTGACTTTTTACTTTTTTCCAGCTCGCCATAAAATGAATTCCGGTACAAGCCAGTAATTGATCCAAATTTTATATTAACTTCGCTAAGTTTGCATAGACCTACTGTTGTCAGTGATATGGAAGGCAAACCGAAAAAAGATACATAATTACAATCAGGCTTTAGAATTTCATGACTGTGATGGCTTTTTCAGAATAAATACGCAAATACTATCTGAATGGGACGTTTTGTAAAGCATCTGTCATACAAAAGTAATTTTATGTATTTGAAATTATCTTGAGTGCTTATTTCTTGTGTAAGAAATCGGGAAATAAAGACCCTTGTGGTATTATACTACATGAAATGAGAATAGATTTAAAAAATATTATGGTCATATTGTGTCGTCATCTGATGATCTTGGTCATATTGACATTTTAGTCCTATCTATCTAATCCTGCATGCATAAGAAGCTGTGGAAAATATTCTAACTGAATGATAAGAGAAGACTTAATCTACTTGCCTCTGATAGACAGGTAGACAGACAAGATCAACGTAGAACCTCGCACACAGGTGCATCGGTTCAAGTTGCCACTATTTACAGTAGTATGAAAAGAATAGGTAGATGTAAAGGGCGTGACATCAAAGCAATAATTGCATGCAGTGGATGGGTATTGAAGTTGAAGGAGATGGATTAAGCATCAGCATTTGGCAATACTTGGTACTTATTTAGGCCTATTAAGGAAAGTAGCAAGAAAACAATGGTTAGTGCGACCATCGCCATAGGATGAGTCACGAATAACATTTCACAAGATGGCTTGAAAACCAAGCAAAGTACACCAAAGAACAGTTAAACTGACCTAAAGCCAGGCTGCAGTTGCCCAACAACTATGCTGAGCCTGAATTAGAAGTATATGTCAGTCCTCCAACTCTTCTCGAGTTGAGAAAGTTGTTTCAGAACTAAAACGATGCAAACCAGTAGAACTCGGCAGTTTTTCACCTGAAGGTTTCAAGGATGGAGGGGGAGGAATCATGAGAAGATAATGAAATATTTAAGGCTTACATTTATCAACTGCTTCTTGAAAAAATTACGATTTTTAATACCTACAATAGTCAAGTTTGGAAAAATTTAGTTTTAAATTGTTTTCAAACTACTAGCAGCTAAAATCGGTTCACTGCTGTACTGATTGGTCTCTAACACTTGTTCAAACTTCAGTCCCAATATTTATCAGGTCATATTAAGACCAACAAAATCTAAGTGTGACCAGACCAAGACATGGTGACAGTCAGTGAAATATTTGAGAGTTGACCTGAGGCTTGTTGGAGGTACCAACTGCCTGGCTGGGGTCCTGAAGAGCTTAGGAATCAATGGTTGGAGACTCTTACTCACATGGCTAAAATCGGCCTTAGTGGGAATGTAAACATTCTTCATCATCTTCACGGTCATGAATATTATCATTAGCCCGTATTAATTTATCCTGCTTCCCCTCATGCACTTTTGTCTGTTATAATATCACCCTTTTTCTATCAACTTGTTATCTGCATGCTGCTGGAATGTGTATCAACTTGCAACGATGCACTTCTATACCAGGTTCTAACTTGATTTGTCTGACATATAATTCGGGTGCTTCTGCTCAAGAAGAATCACTATCGCATACAGCATTTTAAAGAAAAGATCTTGTTATTTCACATGATGTTTACCTTTATCAGTTTTCTGTCAACTTTTACCCCTCGCCTTTACTTCATTTTGCTACCTCTTCTATTAAATCTCATCTATTTTCATCATTTTTACCACACTTCCTCGTAGTGAGACAGATTAAAAACTATGCACTTCTATGTAATTTACCACTTTATTGGGGCCGATTCTGGCAGATAAGAGTATCAGTACTTCAGTAAGCAGAATACTTCAGGACTTTGATCATCTAAAGTTCTCAGTTAAGAATAAAGTTTTGCTTTTTTTACTGTCACCACATCTCTCAGAAATTTACTGATACCAGAAGAATGTTATTCTTCCCATCTTTATAACAGGGTATATGCTAATTGTCTGGTGTTCTCCGGTCTTTTAGACCTCTGTATTCGGCAAACGATTTTATACCATTTGGTTACACTTGTGTATTTTTATACGTGCTATGAGATAAGACTAGGTCCAGGTCACAAAGCACCATGGTTCGCGACTGAGTTAACTTAACTTAGCAGTTATTTTCACTCATTTTCAGTCACTGGTTATCCTTGTCTTCAAGAAGATGGAGAAATCTTATTACGATAAACACAATTGAATCAATCTGATGAGCACTGTGTCTATTATCCTGGGTTCTATAATTACAACGGGTAAGTGGAGCTTGGCTATCAAGATTATCGGCAAAAAGGAACAGATTTCAGACCTGACTCCAGGTCTATCAACTATACCAGCTGGCTAATTTGTTAACCTTCGTCAACTTAATTGACTGAGACTTATTTCAAGCATACCTAATGAGCATGCACGCTGTCGCACAATGTTAGCTAGTGTGTCTAGGCTGTAAACAGTAGAAGGTAACTATACTAAAGCGTGTCATCAATTCCTGAAGTCTCTTACTACTGGAATGATCCTTATATGAGAATGGAGACATACTAGTTGGAAATCACTTAACAAGTGAAATTGATAGTTGGAGACTCTAAATTATGTGGTTCAGAACGATTGGAGTGATCCACATACATCAACACCTTATTTTCATCCTGATCATCATATCGTATTTCTCTGTCTCTTACGGCTACTTTCCTTTGGGATATGGCTTTCTACAACATTTGGTGTTTATTTTTCTACATATCCATCTTTTCTTTCATCTTGGCTACTCGGTATCTTGATGTGCTAATGTGATATGTGGCAAGTTAGACCGTTGCGAGTAATGCCACCCTCCATTGTGATTTAGGCTGACGGATTGTGTGTGTGTGTGTGTATGTGTGTAAAATTCGGTGCATCAGTTCTTGTAACTTATCTGGTAGGAGTTGTATCAGTGTTACTCAGATCGCCACTATCACCTGTTTTATCTACTAAAAGTATTCTTTATAGTTATGCTTAAAATAATCTGCTTGATAACCCCGTTTTCTTTCTTTTTGGACACAAAAGAGTCCCTATTCTGTTATTTTATCGACAAGAAAATTTATTATTCGTTCAAGTAATCATAGTTAAATAATGACTTCACCCTCATCGAAGGAAATGAACGACCACTATGTCGCTGAACAAAGGTCAGTTGAAATCAAACATGTATAACAGTGTAAATCTATCCCTTAATAGCCTACTTATTGAAAACAGTCTCTGTAGACTTTGGTCTGATGGATAAATTTATGAATCTCTGCTCTGAAAAAATATTCAGAAGGAAAGACTTTTTTCAGTTCTTTTTTGCTCGAAAAAATATTTCAACAAGAACTTTTTCGTTACTGTGAGACTGAGCAGTCAGTGTCGAGGCCAGGTGTAGAGTCTTAGGCAAGGCAGGTGATTCAGTCGATTAATTTGTAGATCTACTTAGATACAGAAAGTTAAGACTTGCTCAATTTTTTCACAGGCATTTTTCCGATTCCGACGTATGGTAACAACTATGGCAAGAAGACACTGGAGAAACTTAAGGTTTACCAGACCAATATGTGACACCATTTCAATTATTAATTGGTTTGATACTTGTAAAAACATGCGAGATCAGCGGCTGATTTTTGTGCTTTAACGTCAGTAGATGACTGAAGACTGATTCTGGTAAAACTCCATTTCTTTCCAACTGGTGTACATTTGTCCACTTGTCAGACCTAGGTTTTGCACTTTTTCATACTCATTAGCAAGGCGTATCTGTAACCTCAAGGAAACTGATGCCATCTCACGTCACCTGATGCAGCACTTAGGGAACTAGACAACATGATATCGGTTACCTCCAAGTAACCAATCAGTGTAAAGTTACTTTCGTCACCGTTTGACATTATTTGGAAGTACTTGACAACTGTCTCCCCCAGTTTTGGACTTCTCATTATTGCTCACCGGCAACCACAATGGGGATTGACCATCAGGCCTTTTGGGAAGTACATAGCCATACAGCCAGATTTTCAATGATTCTCCAGCTAATGTTAATCTATATTGAAAAGTCTTTTTGAAATTAGTTATTCCGGCAATGGAATTATTATTTTTCGTTATTACTGATGGTGATTTCACTCCACTTTTTCTATTACTGCAGCTAATTGTCTATCAGAGCTGGTTTGATTTTGCAATTCACTTATTTGGGAAGGTCGTAAATTGATTTATCTGTCCATTCTTTCTCTCAATGAATGTAAAACAAAGATGTAGGCTTGTAGGTTAGTCTACTAAGAACACAATTTGAGTATTTCCGATGGAAATTGACCAACAAGAATCATTTCCTGATCAATATTCTTAGAAAAAATCTATTCCATTCAATCTAAATTTGTCTGCTCTCTTATGTCTATTGTTCCTGTTGAAATAATTCAGCAGCTGAATTCCAAGTCGGTTAACTTTTTTTCTATTTTTTTGGAACCAACTTTACAGTCTTTCCTAACTTGTTTTATCTCATCAACATTAATAGCTCTAAGCCTATGCAGCAAACATTCGCGAAAGTTACGAAGCACCATTCACCAGATGATGATCGAATCGAAGTATGTAAACAACGTTTAATAGATGTAACAACAAATTTAAGAGAAAAGCGAAAAACTATTTGCTGTAAGTTTGAAGCGTATAGTTTCTAATCTTTTTTATCATAACTTATTGTGCAAGATTTACTGATATTTTTGATATGCTTTGCTGAAATACTCAACTTCATCATTTGTATAATTACTAATGATGGATAGTGGCTAGTAACAGAACTCAGGACTCACGTTTCGTCTTATTTGGGACTCGTCAGCTGGATGTTCATTCCTTCCAGTGAACAATGTTCTTCCCACTAGGACTTGAACTCATTTTGAACCCAAATTTCTTTTTTGATATAAGGATTTTACCAGCATGTCTTAGCGCACCGTATTCATATACCATCGTCATGAAAATGGACCTGCAACCCACACATTTGCATAGGTAAACACGACAGCCATCTCAGCTTGATTCTTTTATATATATAGGGATATCTGGTAGTGATCCTTCCACAGGTTCACCTACGGAAACCTTGTTATGACATTTACTTCCTCTACGAAGTCAAAAGAGGTCGTCTACTCAGAATCAGTCTAGCGGCAGGCCACTTCATCGACACCAATCCAACGACTTCACCAAACCATTCAATCGGTAGTGGAGACGGGTGGTGCGTACAAAAGCCGGGGACGAAATCAGTGCAAGCTTATGACTTGCATTCACTAGGAATTCCTCGTTCACAGGGAATAAATACAAGTCCCGATCGCAGTCACGACGGTGATAAAACAGTTTGTCCAACCGTTTCGGGTCAGGTTTCCTGACTTGCTGGCACCGTCATTGTAGCGCAAGTGTGGCCCCGAACATCTAAGGGCATCACAAACCTGTGATTGCTCAGTTTCGCACGACTTAAGTGTCCCACTTGTCCCTCTAAGAAGTAGTAACTGGCGCCGTACCCGCTAGAAAACGACCACACCACTCCATAAAGAAGCAGTAGGAGCCACACCCTGAACGAGTACAGAGAACCAGTCTACTAGTAGGTTAAAGTTTCGTTTATTATCAGAATTAATCAGAAAAACCGCTCCATCAACTAAGGACGGCCATGCACTCATAACTATAATGTTTGAAACTCCTAACTGATTAGATTTCAGCAAAACTGGTAAATAATCGCTTATGTCCCCTTATGCAGCTGTTAATTATAGTCCTCGGAGTTAGAACGATGGCTGAAAGTAAATCAATCCTTAGTTTCTGAGAACTAGTATCTGCATGCAGCGGAACCGCCGAATGAGCAAGGCCAAGGATTCCAGTGTGAGTTTCCTATGCATTAATAACCAAAGTCATAAATCTGCAGGAATGTAAGAATAGAACTTGAGAACTGTATTGGTGTATAATTCTATGTTAATTTGCTTGTTGAATACTTTACACTGTAAAACAATAGTATTTATTAAATGAAGTTTCTAGCCTAATTTATTGCTCAAATTCATACTGAAACATGCGAAACAAATGAAATTATATTTTTAGTATACTCCTTGAAGTTCTATAAATGTATTTCTTCGTGATTGGCTGATTACCAGCAAGGCATTTTACTAACTTTATTTATCCATCTTATGGTATGCCATAATCTCATAGTGGTTCACAACATTAACCTAGTAACCATTCGAAATCTAAGGACAGTTGGACAGCTATTTTGTCCCTGTCCAGGACTCGTTAAAAATGCGTACAAGCAACCTCACGAAGGATTGAGTTCAGAGTCATTAGATCTGAAGCAGAGCAAATTGTCACCCGGTCAATGAGTCAGAACTCCATGGTCTACGGTTTCTGGGTTCAATCCTTCATGGGGCCATAGGTGCACTATTGTAGGTAGTATAGGAAGGAAACAAAGCAACTATCCAGTACTTCCATTCTTCCATTGATTCTCTAAAACACTGTCAATCCATGATGAAATTTATTTCGAAATCAATCAGTCCTTAAACCCTTCCCCCAAATCGAATAACATTTCCTCATATTTAATCACAGGGAGTATGAACCTAATTAACTATTGTTCCAACACTATGTTAAGGTTCAGTTTGAATTTTAGTGAATCATAAGTATATTCTGATAAGTACTTAATTTCTGCATTCATCCTTCAGTACACTAGTGAAACCGTGATAATCATCAGATGGTTGTCTGAAGTCTAATCACAACTCAGATATTTCTGTAGCTTCAGTAACCATGATGGTCACCACCATGAACAGTATCAATAGCACCAAGTCTAATCGATCAATTTATACTATTCCTTCTCGAAAGTCTATTCATTTCACAATTATTATTGTTAATTATTACTATTATTATCATTATTGATCATTTTGTACTGAAGGAAAAATGACAAAATCTCGAGAACAACGTGCCTTATTACAAAATGATTTAAATGCTTTAGAAGAATGCAAATTGAAATGTCAAGGTTTTATAAAAGACAACGAAGTTAAACGTTTGAGAGCCCTTCAAAAATTCTGTACAGATAACCATTTATGCATTGTTAAAAAGAAGGAACAACAAGAATTAGTTAGTGAATTAAAAAAAGCTAAAGAACGGTGAGTTTCTTTTTAAGTAAACTTAAAGTGAACCAATTCAATTTACTGATAAAAGTGCTTACCTGCTTACCTGTATGTATGATTTAGATGAATTAGGATTAAGTTGAAAAGAAGCTAAGAGTAGTCAGACATAAATACCGCAATAGACAGTTTAACATAGAATCTCAAACAGAAGTGCATCGGTTCAAAATACCACACTTTACAACAGTATGCATAGAACTAATGGATAGAAAATTTGTGATATTAAAGTAGACCAACGTATGTTGTAGGAGAGCAAGGCATTAAATGAAGGTTAGTGAAAATATTCAAACTGTAGATGATGTCAGAAAGTGAATAAATCTGTGCCATTGTGACTGGTTTTTAGTCATGTCACCAAGAACCTCCAGTTATTGATTCTTATCCTCTTCTTGACCCCAGCTAGGCAGCCTACATCCTCCTAAATGGCGTAGATCAACAGTTAAAGACTAAAAGGACTGTTGCTACACCTCTTTGGCCATATTTAGCATTTTTCTAACCAAAGCCTACTTCGGTTAACATTGTTCTTCAAGTTAGGAAGGTGGCTTGACATTGGCAGTACACGTACAAGTCGCCTCAATCGGTAAGGCTTCACTACATCATCCACTGATTTGCCTTATTTTTCTGATACCTCCTAACCAATCTTGACACTGCTCGTATTGTGATCCCACCATATGAAAACGCCTGTGATCAAAAACCTGTAACCCCCGTCCAACTTTTTTCATAAGCCATTCAATAAAGTATCTGAAGGCTGGTCTGAGATGTTTGAAGAGGCTGGGGTCTCGAAGAAGATAGGAATCAATGGTTGGAGGCTGTTGGTGAAATGACTGAAAACAACTGATAGTGGTGCAAATTTATACACTGTTTTTTATCTCCAAATTCTTCAAAATTTCATTCTCCCTTCCCTGATACACTTTTGTCTATGATGATATCACTTTTTTGGTTTTCGAAGAAGTAGGGATATGTGAACCATTAGATTTTAAAGTGACTAGCAGTGAAGAGATGCACATAAAATAGGAAAATCTAAGTAAGGTGAGATGGATGTTTGAGTATTACCATCTAGAAAAAGTCACCAAACTATAATCGGTAGTTATGCTTCAGGTCATCCCATCCTGTATCAGTAAACACTAAATTGATTGCGTGCTTAAGCATTAAGAGACAAAAACTAACCAGTGAGTCATAAAATCGATGTTGGAAACCGAAACGTCTAATGAAGTAAAATTACTTAACAGTTAACCTCAAAATTTTATTTAGAAACGCATAGAAAGTACTGGGGAAATACTAATTATGTTGCATTTGTCAAGAGAAATGACAGAAACAATAATAAAATCATGGAGAAGGAGTTCATGGCCTGCATAATATTGCCATATTAAAAAAGGACATTGGAAATTCTACCTAGGATTGCCAATAAGGCCTGGACTGAAGTGCAGTTTCTACCTAAAAACTGACATAGAGACAACTTTATTAACAGAGCGATCTATCGAATTCTATCTAATCAAATAGGTCAGTGGTACTTAAAAACCTAGTTAAATATAAAATGATGAACCTTAACAAGATGAGAAATTTAGAAAAGAGCTGACCAATAGATATACCCTCTGTCAAACACACTTAATCAATAATAAGGAAAAGAATGACAGTTTTACAGACAACTTAGGTAGGTGAAGATAGAGAGGTGTGAGAGCCACTAACAACTGAAGCCTTGTTTACCGACTCGACACCTGGAACATGTAGTAAGAATGACACGGCACCCATTTTCTATATGTGGCAGATTCAATAACCAATAAAATGAAATGAATGAAACACAGTAGAACTATAACACTAAACCAGGAAGTTGTGTGACTAACTTGATATGATTATGCGCGACAGACTGTGCTCAGAACGTGATGGGGTAAGTAGTACTGTTTTCCTGTGTAATCCATGCGATAAAAGGGTATTGATTGGATTACTTATCTGTCTTTCTCTCTGTCTATTCTAAAAATAGGTAGTAGTTGAAGTTAGTTTTGAGATGTCACTGATAACCAATTACTACATTGTTAGATGATGTGGCTAATCTAAATTCCTTGTTCATAGAGTGATTATCACACTGGTATTCTGTTGATTGATCACCGGAGAGCAAACAATCTCATGTTTTCTAGTCCAGATTGCAATATGACCACCAGACTAAAAAGCTCACCATCTCGGTGCGCTATGATGGATATTAGTGGTAACGTCACTGACTATAACATTGGATGACACGGGTTCGAATTTCCGTTGGGACATCAGTTCCTTCGAGGTTACAGATACACGCTGCTGACAAGCGCCAACAAGCACGAAATCTAGGTTCAGAGCTTCCTGTAGATTGCCTTCAATCAACTAACGGTGGTATTCTTTAAAATTCAATATTGTTTGAATCCTGATGTTTTGAATGGCTGATAAAGTCACTAAGTTTAGTAGTTCTATGTCACTATGGATTGTGGCGGTTGGTTTGAGGTAATCAGCAGGAATCCCTGTTTAAGCTACATTTTATGTTCATTGGCTGTTATAAGTAAAACAACTCAAGTGGAAATTTATGCTCAACTGCAAACCTGAACCAGTATTATTCAGCACCGAGATTTTCCCTTTATCCATTACTTTTAGGAATCAAATATCCGCGGATATATTTTTCTCTTCAAATGAAATTTCTCTACAGTTCATTTTTACCTTTAGGGCATTTCACTTGTCATCCAGGATTCGATTTGAATGAGTCAACGTGTAGTTTACTTTCCCTCCTGACTTCTAGTGTACTCATATAAGTACCACGAGATGTGATTTTGTAGTTAATTCGACCCTCTTTTACAATAATTATATCTTGATTAAAGTTGTCAAGTACTTTGTTCCTGTCTTCTGTGCTATTTTTATAATAATGTGAATGTTACACATCCAGATTGGTGATCTCTGTAGAGATGCAAGATGTTCAACTGACATTTGCACAATTTCGCCACATTTTGTACCGATGACATGACCAAACGTCTTTTCAGAGTAAATTATGTTGCACAGAGTTGTTATTCGAGACCAATTCTTGTAAATGTGTTAAGGCTTCTGGAGTGAGCTGTGTTTGTTTGCGTATTATTCAATCCATCTGGAAATTTGGATAAACCAGAATCCACAATCTTGTGCATAGATAACATTTTATCACGTTGAAAAGCTAAACTCGGATCTCCGTTGTTCAGTTCATCAGCCCACTATTCACCATAACCTGGAATTTCATGCACACCCATATTCGATACTAGCCTACATATTTTTACTATAAATTTAGAGTTAGTATAGAGGTCAAAATAGCAAAGCTACTCACCAGTGAGTGAGATATGAGATAGGAGGCCGAATAATGTGATTAGTAAATCAGTCAACCTTGATATTTATCATTGAGTCTGGCTTTTACTGGCATCTTGACATGATGAACATTAGATACAGAGACTTAAAATCTGCTAGCAAACAACCAGACTAACTGAATCATCAGTCACTGAACAAATTTGAAGCAATAGCACCTCTTTACTATTTCAGATAGATAATGAAATAAAAACGAAATACTTTTGAACTAGCATAACTCAGCACTTGCACCGAAATCTAAACTCATATCAGTTATGTGAACCCTAGTTACAACATATTGCTGCTGAAACCTTAGATTATCGGAACGCCTTTCAATTATGTAAACCACTAGTTGGTAAATGGTCACTTAAACAAACGAAGCACAATTTTTAATTTTAATGCTATAAAGGTGAACAGAAAGGAAACATAAGCATTTTTAGATTAGTTTACTTCAGAACAGTTGACTAGGGAACACAAAACAGTATTCATTCCATTAGTGATGCAAAAACTGGTCAATTTCAACACTAAGAATAATTGTAGTACGTGCTACTGATAAGAATGGATATAAGTACTATGTGTTGAGAGGTCGGCAGAAGTCATAGACAATTACCAGCAATAGGTAAAGGTTCTACAAAGAGATAATGTGGGCGTATGAAGAGAAAATCGAGATAGACGAAGAGGAAATAAAGTACACTGTGCAGATGACTATTTTAGTGGAAAGTGTGCTGTACAAAAAGTCATAATAAACATCCTAGCATTGAGTCTCATTTCTGTTGTTTCTTACATAATCAACACCACTCACATATACAAACAAACGACAGTTCTTTTATTTTATTCAACTTAAAACTGACTGATATAGCATTTCAATATTAGTCAGTACCAGTCGACTGAAGTAAAAAATTATCAGACTGACTTCATTTGATTGTTGATAACTGTTAAGGGAATTCAGGGCCTGCATTTTATCTTATCTGAGGCTCTATGGTTGGATATATTTATATTCCAATAAATCTTGTATTCCGTACTAAAATGCTATTGATTGGAACAATTTATTTCAGACTGTCAATTTCACCAGAGTGCAATAATGAATTTCTGTTGGTATACCGACTCTATGAAAATGTTACTTGATTCTGAATTGAACTTCATTTCAATGTTGTTGTTTTTTTATCAAGACTTTGTTTAATTCACTATAATGTTTCTATCAACCTTTTTTTCTATTATTTACCATAATAAATTTAGTTATGCATCGCTGAATGCGAAAGTCGCTGGTCTGAAAAAGTACGAAATCTACTTACAAAAAGTGGTTGATACATTACCTAAAGGTTTGTTGAAAATACTCCTTTTTCAGTCAGTTTTTTCTTCAGGAAGACATTTTTGTTATTGATGAGTAGTAATTCGATAAACTGGTAATTGTAAAATGGTCATTCAAAAGTTGTAGAAGTTCATCTACGCATAATGAATTTTAAGAATACTTGTAAGGATAACCAAAATCTAAACAAATCACTCCATTGATAATTTGAAAGTGTATGCCAATAAAAAAGACATCCTGCTTTTTATAAATCAGTAGTGTATTCATATAGAAATCTGTAGACCTCTTCAGCCAAAACAGTGCAGTGTAAACGAGCATTTATTGTTGGCTTTGTTAGGGATATTTACAAGTCGATGGAGCTGATGACCGGGGAAATGTTTCTAACTTTTGACAGTCTGAGAAGCTGGTAGGCATGTATGAATCACATACAAATTATTCCAAAATTCTCCGTTTTTCAATAATGACAACGGGGGTTTCTGTAAATGAAACAACACGAAGTCACAACCCAAAAATATCTTAGATGTTACATGGTTGAAAGCAATCAGCAGGAAACTACAAACCTAGGTATCTTGGTCGTTGGTAATTGTCATTAAGGCATAAGAGCGATCTCATTGGAACCTGTATCCGTACAAATACTGAAACTGATATCAGCCGGTGCCATAGTCAGAGACGTTACCAATGAGCTGTTTAGGTCACTATTTTCCTCCTGTAGGACTGAATTATATAAAGCTTTGGTGAAAACTCAGAACTGGATATCCTATGTGCTGAACCTGGATTTTCAAGCGATTATTTCAGATAAATAAATTCCCTACAAACCGAAAAATTACATTTTAACTGAGTTTTGACAAATTTCGACATTGAGTATACTCATTCCTTAAATGAAATAAACTGACTCAATATCCGCCTAAGTGATTCCGTTAAAGTACCGAAACGGTAAATCTCTTAAAAGCAGATTAACTTATGTGCTATGTAACCTGTTGGAATCTTCTGAGTGCCTTCTTTTGCCATATGATAAGCCGATGGATACTTGTTTGTTTCCCCGTTGCCATACAGGGTCAAATTACTCGACCTATGTTAGCAGATGGGCTCGTATGCGGATGCCTCTATAGTGCCAGATATTCATGATGTCATATTCATCTTCATGAGTCGCAGTAGAATCCAGGACGCGTGTCTCGATCTGTTTGGGACTCGTCATCTGAACATATCTGTACCCCAGTTAGTGGTGCTGTTCCCGCTGAAACTCAAACTTGGCACCCATTGCTTCTAACGCCAAATCGTTATCCACTAGACAATTGAGATACGAGAGCCACTACTTGTGCAGCGGGTATCCGTTGTTCTTTACTGATACTTGCAACCTCCCGTTGCTATACAGGGCCAAACTGCTCTACAATAACTGATACCCGTTGCACGAGGTATTGCCCTCGTGCTTCAGTAGTCTAGCGGGTAACGCTTCGGTGTTTGGAGCGATAGATAGTGAGTTCGAGTTGTAATGAGCTACAAGTTCATGCAATTGTCAATGAGTACTGTTTGTAGAATTATTACTGAAATGCCAATAATGTCTACCAAAGGCTTATAGGAGAATGCTGTCATCGAATAACACCTAATTGTGGGAATTTCACCTAACTGATTGTTTACGAATTCGGAACGCTCTTTATACTTGCGCAACACTGTTACACGACAATGGATAATGATAAGGGAAGTACTGTTCCTACACTACTAGTAGGCAAGGCTTGCTGCTCCTGAAAAAGTCAGGAAATAACAATAACTGCCAAGTTTAGCATAGAAAAAGATTGTCCTGTCAGACACTGGTTAATAGCTGAACCAATAATAAAGTGCCAATTAAGTAAGAATAATAATCCATCAATCACGTATGACTGATCAAGGTTAAAGACAACTATTCAGACCTCGTATTTTGTGGAAACCACTGAGCGACCAGCTTTCTGTCTCTTCGTTCTGATAGAAAGCTGTTAATCCATTTACTTCCATTCATCTCCATACAATCAGCTCCTTAATCACCTTAAAACTATACTTACAGAAATAAAATCAATTCGTTTCAGTCAGCTAGCTTATCACCATTTGTATGCACCTAGAGGGTAAATTTATTATTATAGGCACAAAGGAAAACGCAGTGCCATTTTCAACTGAACAATCTCCAGTATTATTATTATTATTATTACCGTACCGGTGGGTTCCTAGTGAAACATACAACTTCAGTAGCACGCCTCCATTCCACTCTCTTCTCTGTAGTCTTTTCAACCTCGCTCCACGACTGCCCACAAACTTTCATTTCTTCCTCATATGATCTCCTCTATGTCACCCTGACCTCGGATGCCCAACTCGTCGTTTCACCTTTGGATTCCATTCGAGGGCCTGGCGCATGATGTCCGCAATCGGCCTTCTCATTGTATGCCTAATCCAATCCATCTCCACTTTCTTCTGCACATTTCTTGGCCGAGAGGTTCTTGGTTGGTTCTTCCTCAGAGTTCCTTGTTGCTTATTCTTATTATTCTGGCCATCTGATCTTCATTGTCAGTATCGAGTGAGCGTAGGCGTAGGTGGCAGCTGTTGATGAATGTCTGTAGTTTGTTGGAAGTACTTTTCGTGACACGCCAAAATCTGAACCATATAGAAGCACTGAGTTGACTGAATTAGTATGAAAATCGGGATGTTGTTCTTTGTGCTGAGTGGAGTGCAGTAGATCTGCACACTGGTTATTTCAGACTAATGAAGGCCTGTTTAGCTGTATCTCCGGTCCTAGCTTTGACATCCTCATCTGTACCATCGCCGCTGCCTGCAGTTGAAACGATGCTGCCTAGGTAGAGAAGTAGGTGGAAGAGACAACTTCCTTTAGATTTCTCCCGTTGATGGTGACTGGTGCCTCCTGTTGTTGTTGTTGTTGTTGTTGTTGTTGTTGTTGGTTGGTTGGTTAACTTCAGCACCTCTGTTTTCTCTACACTCACCTGAAGTTCCACTGATTGAGTCAATATAAAGCTGAAAAAGTATCTTATTGGTTCATAGTTTGAACACGGAAACAAACCGTTTGCTTTTTTCCAACCTCACTAATGTTTTTACTGAAAACGTAAGTAAAAATAAGTAGTTAATATAGGCCTTAAACTTCAAGATTAATGTAAGAGTTCTGAAGAAAATATCACATACTGAAAGAATTACCAGAATTTCAAAATCTTTTCTTTATCCATGCACTGCTCTGACTACATTCATCTGGACATGATAATTTTCTCAAACTAAACTGGATTTTGGAGCATTCTTTCTGTTAATTACTGTGAAGGGTTTCGAAGCAATGATTTAGTGTTATGATCCACGTATATGGCGAACTACTTTTTTCCCAATTTGTTATTCATCCTAGACTGATATCATTTGGAGTAAGAAAGGAAACCTTGGAGCAGTGGACAGCTGTTTCGTCCTAGTATGGGACTCCTCAGTTGTGCGCACTCACGAACCCGCAACCATCAGGTTCCGTGGCCAGCACGTTAACATTGAGCCACTAGGTCAGAACCCAGTGGTCGATGTTTGTTTAACTTCGGTCGGTTTACGACCGCCCGCCACCCAGTGTCATCGTTGATTAACTGTCCTCACAACCGTCAGGCTGGCCTCACTGGTCACGACTTCTCATTGGAACTTCGGGAATTATCTCTTGAAACTAGTCACCAATGAGCACCAGTTCAGTTGGATTTTGAGCGAGTTGTGGGGGCTTTGAAATATTTCAAGTTGTCATTGATAGCAGACTGACATCAGTTGGAGGAACAAAGGAAACCTGGGAGCAGTGGACAGCTGTTTCGTCCTAGTATGAGACATAGTATATATATATATATATATATATATATATATATATATATATATATATATATATATATATATATATATATATATATATATATATATATATATAGTCTTTTGGCATTCAAGAGGCTTTCAGTAGGATGAAATGATATTATTAGTATGCAAGAAGTGACTACAAAAAAGGTAAGGATTCACTTATCATATCAGATGAGAAGTAAGTGTATACAGAAAGCCAATAACTAAGAGTATGCCTACCTCCTCAGCTTCGTGTCGACAAAGTAGAAATCCAGTATAATGAGATGCCTGGCATCCGGAATCAGATCAGTTTACTACGAGGAATATGTTCAGAAACAACCAGTAGACATTCGAAATATTCTTAGTAAAAACGGATATTCTTATAAGTTGATCAAAGCAAACATCGCTTACAGTAATCGTAAATGAGAATTGATGACAATAGAGAAGAAGCTTTCGTTTCTCAGACTCAAATGCAAAGGAAACTCTCCAAATGACATTTTATTACAACGCCTAACTAAAACGGTCAATTGAATGTTTTATTCAGGTTGTCTTTGCCTATATTAACTACTTATTTTTACTTACGTTTTCAGTAAAAACATTAGTGAGGTTGGAAAAAAGCAAACGGTTTGTTTCCGTGTTCAAACTATGAACCAATAAGATACTTTTTCAGCTTTATATTGACTCAATCAGTGGAACTTCAGGTGAGTGTAGAGAAAACAGAGGTGCTGAAGTTAACCAACCAACCAACAACAACAACAACAACAACAACAACAGGAGGCACCAGTCACCATCAACGGGAGAAATCTAAAGGAAGTTGTCTCTTCCACCTACTTCTCTACCTAGGCAGCATCGTTTCAACTGCAGGCAGCGGCGATGGTACAGATGAGGATGTCAAAGCTAGGACCGGAGATACAGCTAAACAGGCCTTCATTAGTCTGAAATAACCAGTGTGCAGATCTACTGCACTCCACTCAGCACAAAGAACAACATCCCGATTTTCAATACTAATTCAGTCAACTCAGTGCTTCTATATGGTTCAGAATTTTGGCGTGTCACGAAAAGTACTTCCAACAAACTACAGACATTCATCAACAGCTGCCACCTACGCCTACGCTCACTCGATACTGACAATGAAGATCAGATGGCCAGAATAATAAGAATAAGCAACAAGGAACTCTGAGGAAGAACCAACCAAGAACC